AGAGAGAGAGAGAGAAAGAAAAAAATGAGGGAACAAGGTTACCGAGGAGAAAGTTAACGAAACAGGTAGATATCAAAGGCACTCGAGCAATGCAAATCGACCAAGATCGCACGTGACTCGTTCGCGACCTTTTTTTTTTTTTTTTTTTTCGAGATTCAAGAGAATCTTTGCACGATTCTTCGTAATTTCGAGAAGAAAGTAATTTTGAAATTATAGACAACGAATAATTTAATCCGATAATTTGATCGAGAATTTATTATCGATCGTTATATTATTTCGACAAGAATTATTTTTCGAATTCAATCGAAAATACGATACGAAGAGAAAGAGGAGAAACGATTACGACGACGGAATGATTCCTCGCAATTGTAACGGATCGAATATGATGAAACGCTTAGGAGGCCGAATATTTCTTTTTTCTTTTTCTTTTTTCTTTTTTTTTTTTTTTTTACCGTTGCGTAAATATACGCGTATACGTCGAGTTGGATGAACGAGAGTTTGGCACGAAAGTATGCCTGCTTTTACCTGGATGAATGTGACCGAACGATGTACATGCCTGCGGTTTTCCTGGTCAGTTAGGCGTGTTTACTCAGATAAGATGCGATTCGACGAGTGGATATTCAACCAGAAGACAGATGTCTTCTACGTCTCGGACGAAGCGAAGGCAAGCAAGGTGGCTAAGAGTGTTTAATGCAACGATTTGCACTTCGATCGTATGTGAACAACCGAGCTCTTGTTGAGAAAAACGAAAATTCCAATTTTCTAATTGAAATTACCAACGATCGAACATATTCCATCACCTCCATCACGAGGAGGGGCGTCGAAAAAAACTGATGACGAATTGGAAATTTCGATGGAGATAGGTAACGGTCCTCGGACCGTTTAACCAAAACACCTTCCGGGGATTGGAAGATCGAGTCGAATAATCGTTTACCATATACACGAATCCGCGGCTGGCACACTTCTCCTTCCTTTTTCTTCCTTTTCTTTTCTTCTTCTTCCTCTCTTTCATTCAACATTCAACACTTTGCCGATCGAAGAGCCAAGGTGTTCGGAGATCCATGCTCGTCACCCATCATGATGGATCGAGTTTGGATCCATCCGCGATCGGATACGGACGCAAAGCGATCGATTTACTCGACTCGACAAATGGAAATTCTAGCGTAGCGCGAAATCCTCGACTTCGAATACGATGACGATGACGACGTTCGCGTTTCAGGTCATGCGGATTAGCGGTTTCGTTTCGGTATCGAATTTTAATCTCACCGACGGAACGAATTAGATTTCACCGGGTGATTTATCGAGCGGTTGACCGATTATCCTTGGAAATTTGAATATTTGAAAGTTTCGAGGGATAAGTCGACGAGTCGAAAGTCGGATAAAATTTTAAATTGAAAGGGGGCGAGAATTCAAACTTTTCAACGACAAGTTCGATTTCGTGAGATACATCTCGTAATTCGATTAAAAGATTAAATCTTTTTTCTTCCCGCCATCCCGGGAAAGCAGGTAGCAAGCTAGCTAGCTACCCGATTCGAAGAATGGGAAGCGGATATCGGTGTTTTTCTACACGTCTTTCCACCACTTCACGCCTAGTTTTAACCGGCGTATCTCGACGACACGCGATGCCGTGGATCCGATCCTTGATGATTTCGCCAATAACTTCGCTCCTCCGCCACGAAGCCGCGTATCATTCGGTACGCAAACACGGCACCGTGTCATTCCAACTTTCTACCATTCAATATCCCAATGATTCTTCCAAGATCCTCGAGAAAATCCGTTTATTTACGCTCAATCTCAACTCTTTTCACCGCGTTGATCAAATATTTGATTTTCGAACGAATCATTCTCCTTCGTTCATCTCGATCGTTCGTTTCGTATTACTTGTTCCGTCCGATTTTTTCCTACTTTTTTACTTTTATCCGGGTTAACAACAGTTTTCCCAACGACCAAAAAGGAAAAGAGATCGCGCGCGTGTTATTTTTCTTTTTTTGCCTTCTCAAACTGCTCGACGAAACCAGGCAAAAGAAATCTCGCGAGAAGTTCGCGAGCAGCGGTCCTGCAAGGAGGAAGTGTGCTCCGAGCACACGCTTGGCACACTTCGTCTCGCGCACACGCCCTCCCCCTGCCCCACCCCTAATTTGTTTCTTATTACGGCACGCGATATTTACTTTCTTTACGAGCGTAACATAACGAGCCCCCCCCCCCCCGAGAATAATGCTTTCCAGAATATTTTTCACCTCGATTCCATTTCCTTCTCGACCCGTTTCGAGATCCTCCTCCCTCGAAACGAATCAAAAACGGAAACGTCTTGGAAAAACGACTCTTGTATCCGCCTCGATTCTCTCGATTGAATCGGGGGAAAAAAAACAAAACATCGTCGTTCTACGCGAATCTTTAAATCTTTAAATCTTCCTCCTCTCCCAAAAAGCTCACCAAACTCGAAGGCTAACCAAAAAAAAAAAAAAAGAAAAACGTTACGAGAAGATCTCTCGGATCTCTGGCAAACACAGACCCTTGAGAAATGTTGGATTCGATCGATCGATCGATCGATCGATCGGGATCGGCGGCCGAGTGTCGAGGTCTGACAAAGTGGCCACTTGGCGCACCGTGTTCCACATCCGTGACACGGTTCTCGCGATGGGTCGTGTGTGGACAACACCACCAGGAGAGTCCAGGAATCGGTCACGTGTGTGTTGGCCGACCTCCACTCTACTCCACGCGCGCTGCTCTACACTCTGCTCCACGGCACTCTGTTCCCAAGGTGTCCGGCAAAGGTGGAACCAGTTTCAGCGGGCCTCCTCGTCGGATCTCTCTCGGGGGTCGCCGCTCTTTTCCGCAGAGGCGAGATCAGCGCGCGGGTAGAGGGAGGCAGGCCACACGATGGATCCCACCAGTCGACCAGCCAACCTCGTATCAAAGGCAAAAGTGGGCACCACCCGCCGCCCCCGTGCACCACGCGGCGTTTTCGCGTGCAACCTATTCGACCCATCGTATATAAAAGCGGCCGGGGCGAGACGACGGGTTCAGAATACTCGCTACGCTCGATCCACGCATCGGGTGGTGGACCCGCCACGTCGACCAGCCGAGCAAAGGGACAGAGAAGAGGCGCGGCACCACCCAGCTTCCTTCGAAACGCATCGAAACCTTTCTTTTTTCTCGCCGAGTGAGTAATCTCTCGAGTATTTATCTATCTCTCCTCGATTTCATCTTAAAATCGGCAGATTCGATTGAAAAGTTCGCAGAGAGGCAAAAAAAAAAAAAAAGAGAGAAAGATGAAGGCCACGTTAGTGTTGCTGTTGTCGATCTCGTCGTCGTTGCTGGCCGCTTGCCTGGCAACCCCGTTGGAGAAGCTGAGCGACAAGATGAGCGTCCTCGAGCAGCAGTCCGTGACGCTCACGGATCGGGCAAAGTACGAGGAGGAGCTGCTACGGAAGCTGAACTCCAAGTGCTCGCAAAACGACATGAGCAGCTGCGTGATGCTCAAGCTGGTCACGTACATGAACAAGCTGCTTAAGAAGGCGTCCATCAAGCTGACCGACGACATCGAGATCAGAAAAACGAGCCAAGCGTCCGAGGAGGTGATCACGTTCGAGGCCGGGAGGAGCAAAGACGACGAGTCCGAGGTCCTCGACCTTGTCGCAAACAAGGTGTACGCGTTCGTCAAGTCGAGGAGCATCAAGTGGAGGATCCTGCCCGAGGACGATGTCGTCGTCTCCGCATCCGAGGACGGCAACGGATCGTTCAACCTCGGATTGTCCATCGAGAGGGCGGACAACGTCCCTGCCCAAGATGGTAAAGTATATTTCCCACAGTTACAGCAACAAGAAATTCCAACGAGACTTCGTTATTTCGTTCGTCCAAAAGAGATCTATCAAGAGATTCTTCTACGGATCTCTAATCCATCGATGAAACATCCTCGATTACGATCTCGCCCCACTTTTACTCTCCTCCTCCCCGATCCAACCACGGATCCCGGTGGAATCGTTTCGAAAGAAAGCGATAACAAATATTTTTTCGCACAGGTCGTGGGAAGAAGAACAACAACATGGGTCCGTTGATCGCCGCGGCCGTGTTGAAGATCGGCCTGATCGGCGGCCTCGCGTTCAAAGCGCTCGCTCTATTGGTCGGGAAAGCGTTGCTCCTCTCCAAGATCGCCCTCTTGCTGGCCGGTATAATAGGCCTGAAGAAGCTCTTCTCCCAGCAGAAGCACGTGACGTACGAGGTGGTGGCCCATCCTCATCACAGCTCGAGCCACACGTTCAGCTCGGACCACGGCCACGGCGACAGCTACTCGAGCGGTTGGGCGAGAAGTTTCCAGGAGCCGGTTTCCGGTGTTCAGAGCGACGCCCACGAGCTGGCCTACTCGGCTCACGCCAAGTAAGAAGAGGAAAAGGAAGGAGAGTAATCCGTGGATACGTGATGGATTGATTTGAACCGGGCGCTATTCACGCCATTTCTCGTTCGCCACAATTAATTCTTGCCAACACCACGCGCTCTTCTTGCCTTTTCTCTTCGTATTCTCTTTTTTTTCACTCCTCTCTGTTTTCCTCTTCGTCTCGAAACGAGACAACTCTTTGCTACTCTCGACTGTATTCGACTGTGTAGACTGATAGACTTGGACAGAGTTTGGACAGATCTTGGGAGGGATTCGTAGAGTTAACGATGAATGGATTCGATATATATATAGCGTTGCCATCGATATTTTAATGCAATTTTTATTCGTGCCAAAAAATCGATATGCTCCTCATTTTTTCTTTTTTTTAATTGAACGCGTTTCAATTCGATCGCGATTCGATTGGGAAGACTCGCATATATCGCGAATATAATTCGATCGAGGAATCGCGTTCCCACGAGTTCATCGAGCGGTCGGATCACGTTTATAGGTAGACGGACGAACGAGACGCACCCATCGACACGGAATACTACTACTATTACTACCACTACTATTACTACTGCTACTGCATCGACGAGTGGACTGTTCCATAACAACTGTAACTATATACTCTATTTATCGACTAATTTATGATTTAACTTATTCGCCAACCGAGGCGCAGAACTGTAAAAATAATGTTGTTTAATTTACGTTGTTACTTACTTGTATAAATAAATATTTATTTTGTTGTTATTTATATATATATATATATGTTTGCATATAATCTTGTAATAAAAAAAAAAAAAAAAAGAGGAAAAAACTAGTCCAATATTTGGAAGAAACTTTTGTCTTTTTAATCCTCGTCCCATATTTTATCTAATAGTTTTATTGGAATTATATATATAGAAAAAGAAAGGAGACTGTGTGTTATCAAATTATCGAAGAATGCAATAAAAGAACGAATAATTGTTTTACGGAAAGGTAGGTGCGAATCAATCACTCGATCATTATCACTGTTTAATCGTTCATTCTGCCGTGATTAAATTCGAACGAGAAACTCTCTCGCACAATTTTTCATCAAACGAGGTCACATTTTGCAAAAGAGGAGGAAGAATGATAGACGTAACAAT